ATACGCTGATTTCAAATTCTTTTCAGCTCTATGTATATAAATAAGAATCATGTAAGTGACAATAAATCCACACAAAGAATATATCTTTAGTAATGGATTTTGCCTGATTTATTCCTTTTATGTGCAGGTCAGATGAGCTGATGAAGACACTGAGTGCCTCAATGGTTAAGAACATGCGGTGAAAGCATTCCCCCATGCAGTCCTGGGTATATGTGTGCAAGCAGAACACTGAAAATCAAGACTGAGCAGCTATTAAATAAGTCGAGGTCAAGAACCTAGGGAATTGGGTCCATGTGAGTGAACATGACAGGTACAGCCTCAGATGGTAATTGGGAACTGGAGGGCAGACGACAAAGATTCTGAGTGTCAGGCAGAATAAAACTGAGGTACGGCAGGTCAAAATGTGTGAGAAGTATAACATCCAGAACAAAAGACTGAGATGACTAACAGAATTAAAAAATAATAATAATACCCTTCCCCTTACAGAAAAGAAGGGGGCTAAGTTTCCCTAGGCTCTGCAGATATCCTTAAGACATTCTGAATATGAAAATGCATGAAATGGGAGATAGTCCTTGTGTTTAGGGTTCTCAAGACCATCCCACCAGAAGGGCTCACAGGATTAAATATACATAATCATATTCATAGTTAGGCTTATTACAGTTAAAGAATATACAATGAAATCAGCAAAGGGAAAAAAGTGAATGAGGAGAGGTTTGGAAGAAACCAGGCACACACTTCCAAGAGTCCTAAGGGGGTCACACAGGATGTGCTCAGTTGCTCCAGTAATAGACTTGCGACAATATATGTGACGTTATCAACCAGGAGAGCTCATTACTCAGTTCTCAAGGTTTTCATTGAAGGGTGGCAATGTAAGCACCCTCTGCCTAACATATACCAAAATTCCAGACTCCCAGAGGGAAGGCAGGTGTTTAGCATAAAACACATTGTTCCTCAAACAGCTCAGGCCATTCTTATCATTTAGGGAAAGTTTTATATCAGTGCAGAAAACTGTTTATCAGCCAAGTTCCCCAATACCAGCCAAGGGCCCAACCTTGCAAGCAGGTCTTTTTTAAGAAAAGAAGCTCAGGTTTGTTACGTTAACTCTTTTCTACACTGTCCCCACAATAATTTTCCCTTTTTGTTTCCTTTTCAGATATAGTTGTTTTGTTTGCAAATGGGAATCCAGAAATGTTCCTATAATCCAATCAAACAAACAAACTCAAGATAATTAACTCACCACATAGGACCTTAACTTCTGGATCTTATTTATTCTAGAGCTTTACTTATTCCAGTGTATCATAAATGGGGATTAGCCTGACTTCACATAGCGGTATTTCCCTAAAGCCAACGTTTATATTGGTAGTGATTTCATAGGTCCATTAACCTCAGCTGGGACTAGTTTCTTTAAAATGAAAATGCAGTGATACAAATTAGAACCTGGGAAGTCTGGTGACCGATGTTCACGATAGCATTTTAGAGATATAGTTTCAGCAGTGAGTTTGTTGGGTAAGTCAGAAAAGGCCAAGAGACAGAAAAATTGAATGTTTTTTAATTATAAGGATGTCACAGGCTTCAATGGGAGCCAAGCAAACTCTCTCACTTTCCTGAAAAAGATAGTTGTCCAGATAATATAAGCAGAGAAGCTTGATATTAACTGCTAAAACCATTCAAAGAATTCCAATAAATTTTGGATGGCCTTAGTTGCCTAGAGAATACGGAAGGGCTTCTTGTCTATTTTCCTTGGGAGGGTGAGGTATAGATTCTCAGAAACCAATGATCTCTGGTGTCATATCTGGCTCTGCTCTTAAGGATGCTCAATAAATGATTCTGACAAGTGCATATGGAGCAGACAGCTATGAATACATGAGCTAATTTCTCAAGCAAGCTCAGGATCAAGTGCCTACAGGTGGGCCAGAAACAGTGGTTCAACAGTTAGGTTCAAATAGCAAGTCTGTGAAAGGAGGATATGAAATGGGAATGAAGAACTAGAGTGAAAAGCCAAGATGCAGGAGTGACAGTGATGGGAGGGCAAAAGTATGGAAGAGAAGCTGCTTGGAGAAACACAGAGGCCTGTGGCTGACAGTGGGCTTTTTATAAGTTCTCTATGGTGTACTGAGTGAATAAAATAGTTCTGTTTAAAGGGATCTGAGCTGAGTAGGCAAACTTAATATTTAAAAAAGGAATATAAATGAAGGAAATACATGGTAATAAAAATTAAAATATATTCTTAAATTTCCTTATGTGCCATAGGAATCATTCTTAAAAAAACTTTCAACAGAAATAAAATGACCTAAAAGCAATGTTTTTAAGTTACTGCAACAGGCCTGAGATATCTAGCCTTAGAAAGACCTGTTTGCAAGGCTGGCCTTTGTCTGGTGTCTGGGAATGTGGCTGGTAAGCAGTTTCCTGCACTGAGTAGAAACTTTCCCTAAGTGATAAGAGTGGATCACTGTGACTAACTGTCCAGAAAGTGGTTTATGCCAAACACCTGCACACAATGTCCCAGCTTTCCTTCTGGGAGTCTGGAATTTGGGTACATATTAGGCAAAAACTGGTTTTCCTTCTCAATTTTTTCTTCTGTAAGGAGATTCACAAACATAGCATTCCTGGAATCATTGCATTGGAATAGTCTACTTGCCAATCTTGAGTGACTATAAATCTTTGAATTAACCAAGCAAGTATCCTCAAAACAACGGTAACAAAAACCTATGCAATAATCTCTGCCCTAGTCTAGCAACTGGCAGTCTCATCCCTGTCGAAGAAATTACTTATTTACTGAGAGCCTACATGGTCATGACACTTAGCTGATCTAAAATCCTCAAAAGCTCATTATTGTCTCGTGAATTATGATCAAACTTATGAGCCTGGCACCCAAGCCTTTTACAATTTGTCCTTGGCCTATATATACAATTTAGCGTTACACATTACCATTTTTCCCATTTACACAGTTAGTTTGTTACTTGTGTGTGACATGTATGCTTTCCATAGAATTATTTCAAAAATATCATGATCTGTGATTTCAAGATATCTCAATTCAGTAAGAATTTTCTTGACCATCTACTATGTGCAAGGTTCAGTGTCCTAGGCACTGAAAGAGATAGAAAAATGAACAAGAATTGATCCCCACTCTCTATGGTGGACAATATAATTCATAGTCACTTTCTGAAAACCATTTGAGTCCTTAATGTGTTAGATCTATAACATGCTCCATTGCAGGAACTTCCTTGGGGGGCTTGGTGCTTTCTTGACTGTTTGGATATTCCCAGTAACAACATATTTAATTAGAATGCTTTCATTGGCTGGGCATGGTGGCTCACGCCTATAATCCCAGCACTTTGGGAGGCCGAGACGGCTGGATCACCTGAGGTCAGGAGTTCAAGGCCAGCCTGGCCAACATGGTGAAACTCCTTCTCTATTAAAAGTACAAAAAATTAGCTGGGCATGGTGGTGGGTGCCTGTAATCACAGCTACTTTGGAGGCTGAGGCAGGAGAACTGTTTGAACCAGGGAAGTGGAGATTGCAGTGAGCAGAGATCACGCCATTGCACTCCAGCCTGGGCAACAAGAAACTCCATCTCACTCAAAAAAAAAAAAAAAAAAAAAAAAAATGCTTTTATTATATCTTTAAGTTTATCCCCCTTTTAAACAGCATTATCTGTCCATGTGCACACAGCTTTATTTAAAGATTTCTTCATAAAGTGATTTATTGTTCTATCTCTTCTTAGCTTGGTGTTATTGAAGAACAGTTATTTGCAAATAAGATCAAAACTTTACATATATTCTAGGTTTCTTTCTATCCTTCAGAAATAAAGTTAGGCATCTCTTCCCCAACTAATCGCTAACTACTGAAGTGCTAACAAAGCATATCAATTGCTCCCCCCATTAGAACTATTCCTGGCACACGGTAGGCACTTAGTAACAATCCTACCTGTTTGGCTGTACAAAAAATTAATAGAATGGTAATAAATAATGCAAAGAAACAAAAGCTCAACAAGAGACAACATAAGCCATTATCAAGGTCAGATCTTCACAATTTTCTGGTTTGTTCCTAATCACATTCTAGGACAGTTGTTCCTGTTTTGGTTTATGGACTGAAATTTTTTGAAAAATTAATTTCAGCGGACCCTCTGAATCCATTTTTATAAGAATCCTAAACTGTGAAAGGAACAAAGGTTTTGGCAGATAGTATGATCAGAGTCAGGGATTGGCTCGGTTTGAATCCTTTAGAGTATTGAAAATGTGATAAAATAATTGCATTATTTATTAATGACCTAACGAAATTCTTATACATTGTGCTGTAGAGCAATTCCACAGCCATTATCTCCTTTCACCTTAAGAACTCATGAAGGTTATCCTTTTAGTTATCAGAAATCACCACGTTAAAATGCAAATACTTAGGACTACCAGTAGCCTCAACCACTATCTTCTAAAACATTTTTAGAAAGCAAAGCATTAATAGGATTTGGACTGACGTTGGAGGTGGAAATTCTGATGCCCGTGACAGCTTTAGGGACCTGGGAGGCCAGTTCCCCCCTCCACACTCCTCACCAGATCCTCCAAAAAAGCTCAAGTCCTAACTTTGACCAGGTTTGACAAAGAAGGGAGAGGAAACAGCCGTTTTGTAAAGCACTACTTCCAAACGCCACCCGTCAGGACAGATTCCAAACCACCTTAACTTGCTGCTGGTTTTAACTAAAAATAAATGGTACATAAGTAATCAAAAAGTCGCACTCCCAGACCTCTGACCAAAGAACCGAAAAAGGACAGCGAACGACCGGTTCCCAATTCTCTGAACCGAAGGGTCGGAGGAGCAGCTGAGAACAGGAGGAGGCGGGTCTTCCACGACAAACCCCGCCCCTCCCTCGCTCGTCGCTGATTGGTGGCGGCGTTAGGCCACGACGGAGGGGCGGGCCTGTGGCTCGGTCGCTCCCTTTCCTCGCGGTCCCGTCCGCGCCGTGGGTGTGTTTCGGAAGGCGGGCGCGCGCGCGCTCACGTTGGAGGACCGGAAAGGAGGCGGGGCCGCGGCGGCGCGCGCTCCCGGAACGCGCGTACCGCAGACGGCGCGGATCGCAAGGAGCCGGTCCGCCGCCGGAACGGGAACCTGGGTGTGCGTGTGGAGCGGGGGCTCGTGGGAGACTGTCGCGATGAACACGGTGCTGTCGCGGGCGAACTCGCTGTTCGCCTTCTCACTGAGCGTGATGGCGGCGCTCACCTTCGGCTGCTTCATCACCACCGCCTTCAAAGACAGGAGCGTCCCGGTGCGGCTGCACGTCTCGCGGATCATGCTGTGAGTGCTGCCGAGGCCGGCCCGGCGGGGCAGGACTCCCGGACCGGGCCGGGGGGGGGCGGTGAGCGAAGCCGGGCCCCCGCGCCGGGGCCGCGGGCAGGGCGTCTGGATCGCCCTCTTGAGCGGTTGTTCGCCCCGGAGGGCGGTCGTCAGGGGTGCACCTCGCGGGCTTTTCCGGCGTCCCCTCGGAACTCGCACCCCTCCGCCGTCAGTTCCCGGGCTTGCTCTTAAATGTTCATTTTGAGCGTTCCTCAGGTCGGTGCCTCCGTTTGCTTCCTGTTCCTCACTTCCCTCCACCCACGCCTGGCCAATGAGGGAGCAACACAACAGCAGAGTCGGCGCCGCAGCCCGCTCGGGCTGGCGCCTCCCGCGCGTCCGAGGCCGCTGGGGGTCCGCACGCGAGGCCCGCCGGGCGCCGCCGCCGCGCTCTGGGTCGGGCTTCCGTGGGGATTCCCGGCGGCTCTGCCGCGCCGGAGGCCACTGGAGGGTGTTGTCTTTGTGTCATTCATCACCCGAGTTTGCCCTGTTTGACATTCCCTTTACAGTTGTTGCCTTTGCACCATCGGAAGGCAGTAAACACTTAGCAGCTGCTTTGAAGTTGGCCAGAGATGTTCGGCACTGAGAATTAAGCATCTCAGCCTTCTGATACAGCGGGGTTTTTGTTTGGTTGGATTTCTTTCTTTCTTTTTTTTTTTTTTTTTTTTTAAAAAAAAAAAAAAAAAAAAAAAAAAAAGAAAAAAAAAAAAAAAAAAAAAAAAAAAAAAAATGCAATTCGAAATGACAGTGTCATTTTGCTATTGCTTATTTGGTCCTTGATTTTATTCTCTGGCACTTTTGTCTCGATACACCGTATTTCCCCCCAGCAATCCCCCCTACCCCGTTCTCATACCCTTCTGCTCTATTCCATCTTCCAACAAGTTCTTTGACCTTAGTTTATGTCTTTGTCAGAATCACCAGGAAGCCAGTCATCAAATAGCGAGCCTTATCCCCGTACCCCACCTTTTTTTTTCTTTTTTAAAATTACTGATGTTTATTAGACGTTGTTCGAATAGACCTGACGTGGAAACCAGCACTGCCACTGTCAGCCCTGTGTGGGTTAGGAGAGCTTGGTGCATATTAAACACTGAACAGATGTTAGCTGTTGCTGTCTTGAGCAAGTTTCTTACCATTCTGTGCTTTAATTTCCTTTTAAGATGGAAGTAATACCTAATTGGTAGGTTGTGAGAATTACTTGAAATAATTTTGAAAAATATTGTCAGTGGGTCTGACCCGTAGTAAACAGTAAATAGCAGCTGGTTACAGTAGTCTCCCCTAAATGGGGGTAAGTATACCATCCAAGACCCCCAATGGAAAACCTCGGATAGTACCGAACCCTATATATACTGGGTTTTTTCCTGTACCTTACATACATACTTACATATAAAACTTACAAATTACACACAATAAGAAATTAACAATAACAGAACTGTAACAATATACTATAATAAAAGTTATGTCAATATGGTCTTTCTGTCAAAATGTCTTATTTTGCTGGACTCACCTATTTTCACACAGGGTTGACCACGGATAATTGAAACCGGAAGGTGAAACCTCGGATAAGGGGGTGATTTCTATATCATCCATTAATATTCCATCTGTCAGTATTCCATACCACCTTGTAGTCATGTGTAGCTTTCTTATACCCATTCTGCAAAATTGTTGTACATCAAGTATTTACAATTCTTTTTAGCAGTTTTCATCTCCCTCTGAGTTTTGTTTGGGATTCTCTTAAAGTATATGAAATTAGCTGATGATCTACTTTCATATTGGATTAGAATGTTTATCCTGTTTTCACACTTACAGGTTTCTCTGGTTTTTACTTGTTTGTGGGGTTACTGTTTCACCTGTGCACACGCCTATATTCTTTTTCTTTAAGTAATTAGTGAATTTTGTATGTTCTATTGGAAGGATGGTAAAACTTTTATTTTTACTTCTAGAAAAAATGTAGAAGATTTCACTGGACCAAGAGAAAGAAGCGATCTGGGATTTATCACATTTGATATAACTGCTGATATCCTTTAAGAAAATATTTTATTACTTTTTCTATAGTTTTATAACGAGATATGTGTTATTTAATGATCTGGGGGACACTATCATTGAATCAGCCGAACCTCAGAAATTCCTGTGCCTTTTTCATTAGTAAAATGATGTTAATACTTCCCCGTCACACTTTGAGAAGACTTTATAGATTTCATGAGTAGTTGTGTGAACATACTTTAAATGCTTAACGGATACATTAAATTGATTGAAAGCTATGTAAGAAAGTTTGAATCTGTTTTTTTTTAGAAAGAAAAAATAAAATTAGATCATTTGAAAAAGAAGGAAAAATGTTACCAATGCTCGGCCTGCCTGTAAATATTTAATGTACAATTTCAAATAATATATTCATATTTTATTATAGCAGAGAGAAACATGTTTAAAAAACATCTGTTATGATTCAAAAGATTGTATCAAAATTATTGGTAAACTGGTTGCTTTTTGCCATCATAACTCTTTCTATAAAAACTCATAGAAGTCAGAAAATATTAACAATTAAGAGTTTCTTTTAGTGGGGATATTTAAATATTTCCTCTTGACTTAGAGTTTCCATCTTTTGACAACTCTGATCATTTTGGCGGGCTAGTGTTTTTTAGGGCCTTAGGTTAATATTGTGGCAATGTTCTCTGCCATTTCTAGCCTAATCTCACCTGCCTTTTTAATACCCCGTGATTTAAATGGTTGTGAAGATTGAACAGTCTGAACTTGCGTGAAAGTAAAACTGATCGTATACTTGGAGAATTTATCTAATTTGCCTTTCTATGACCATGAAATTTACTTTCAGTTTAAGGTTTAATATATTACTGGATTTAGAAATAGACTAAAAATTAGTTCCGTAGGTACTTTTTAGGAAATCAGAAGTCTTATGTTAAATTTCATATGTGTACTTTTAAGTCTTTGTGTCACTTAAAAAAATTTACTCAAGGGAATTTGGGCCTACTGTGAGAGTAGTAATTTTGTGTACCCAGAGAATTATAATGAAATTTCCTGGTTTCTATGGTATTTATATATTACCAATCTCATTATTTGTAGTTTCTTCAGATTTTCTTAATGCTGCTGCTACTACTACTTAAAATTGTACTTGTTCTTGTAAACAGCAGTCCTAGACTTAACAGTTCTAAAGGAGTGATTCTTAGTGATTACACATAATTAACAATGGAATGTAACAAATGTGTTGCTACCAGTATGGAAACTCATGCAGTACTCTACTTATTGCTTGGTATCGGCGCCAGTCTTATTAATTCTGGTGAGTTCTTGTCCTCTTTGGGAAACTGAATTGATGGTGTCATTTGCATCTTTGAGAGATATTTTAATGTCTACTTGCATGTGACCAAAAATAACATGTACAATTTACTTGGTTAATTATTGAGCCTTGTTTATGTTTGTATATTGTTAAATTTAAATAGTGGTGATTGTGTATACTTTAGAGCTCCAGTGGAATTGTATTTGTTTGAAATATTAAGTCCTTTTTTTTTTTTTAATTTAGTTGATGTTACAGAAAACCAGATTTTAGATTCATTCTTTTATCAAAGTATCTCAGCTAGTAACTCACTAAGGATTCTAGTAACCCTCCAAGGATTACTTGGAGGGTTACTAGCTGAGATACTTTGACTGATAAGAGAGTATGGGAAGATGCAGAAAATCCCATGCTGGCATTTTTTGGTTTTGGAATAAGCTGGATTTCACAATATATTTATCTTCTGCAAGTTTTTGTTAAATTAGTGGCACATTATGTTTCTGGGCCACCTTTTTTTCTACTTTAGTATTACTGCTGTTACTGATAAATAACCTAAGAATAATTAAGATCTATTTGAAAGTGATATGCTACTCATAAATTTATATTTTCCTTAATTTACTTACATCTAGAGAATATATTTGATTGGAATGTTAAGCAGTTGTTTCTTTATTTATCAGCAGAATATTCAACAAAAAATAATGTAAGTATATCTGATTAGAAGTATTCTAATAGTTATTTAAAGCCTTATTCTTTATAAAAGAATATACATTTTATATATTTAAAATACCTGACCTAAGTTACCTAGCAGAAAATCACAAGCCTGTGGAGAGGTAGCTCCGTTCTGAAAACTTTATCTCTTTTGGGAATCTCTTTATTTATTTATTTTGCCATTTGTTCTATAGCTCTCAAGCACTGGGGTCTCCAGAATGGAGTCCATGCAAAGTAATATATGTATGTAAGGTAAACAGTGAAGAGTTTCTATTAATAATTTAAAGTAAAAAAGAAGAGAAGCTTTACTAATACTTGTTCTATGAACTGACATTAATAGTCATATTGAGCCCTTACGTCAGATACATGGTCACATTCTACAACATGCAGATATTCTGGAGGAAGAGGAGGAATTCTGTAGGTCAAGAAGTTAACCCTGCTACCTGGCATTTATTTATTTGCTTTCAGCATGTTGCAAAACATTGCAGTATATTCAATATATAAGTGGATTATATTATCTGATTTTAGCTAATCCTCTCAAAATGGAAAAGTGGCTTAAAAAGATTTCTGCAAAGAAATCATAGATTGAAGATAATGCTAATAATTCATACTTACATAAACAATAGGAAAGTGGTGGAACTCACAGTTGTATTCCTCTTCTGAGGTGCTTGTGTCACACTAAAGGATAAAAAAACCACAAAGACAGCCTGAGTAGATAGGACAAGTTGGCTCAAATACTGTCAGCACTATAAGTGCATGTGAATTACCTACAAAATTTGTAAAAACACATATTTTGAGGACTTGTGATCAGAAACTATTGCAGACCACTTTCAGTGGTAAGATCGGAAAGATATTGCTGAACTATATCAACTAGGAAATGGAGCTGGTAGTATTGCTACTCAGCGGTTTATTCTTAAAGCTAAAATACTCTGTCTTCACAGCCACAATTAGAGAGCTGCATGGTGACTTACTTGAATCAACAAAATTTGAGACCTGTGATTATAATTCTCATCATGAAGATACATAATCAAAACCTCTAAAGATTGTTAATAATTTTTGAACTTGAGATTATTTTAAAATCCATCTTAGTATCAGATACTTTCCTTTTTAAAAAAACATGGTGTGAGCTGTTTTGGTAGTCTTAGCCATATACTTACAATTAATTAATATACCTACCTATTGAGAAGAGTTTGCCTTTGTTTTGGGGTTACATGGGATTTATTAAACTAGTTCAAGTATCTGAGTACTTGAACTAGTTTTTGTTTGTTTGTTTTGTTTTGTTTTGTTTTGTTTTGTTTTGAGAGAGAGAGAGTTTCACTGTTGTTGCCCAGGCTGGAGTACAGTGGGGTGATCTTGGCTGATTGCAACCTCTGCCTCCTGGATTTAAGCAATTCTCCTGCCTTAACTTCCCAAGTAGCTGGGATTATAGATACCCGCCACCATGCCCAGCTAATTTTTGGTATTTTTCACAGAGACAGAAACCGGTTTCACCATGTTGGCCAGGCTGGTCTCGAACTCCTCACCTCAGGTGATCCACCTGCCTTGGCCTCCCAAAGTGCTGGGATTACAGGTGTGAGCCACTGTGCCCGGCTTGAACTAGTTTTTTAAATCAAAATTATAATTCATAATTTTTAATTAGATGCTATTAAACTGTTATATCAAAACCTATTAAAACTATTAGTTTATGATTGAAAGCTACTAGTCTAGTTGAGAGCTTTTGTTGCAGATAGGGTGTGGGTAGAGATATTTATATAGAATATTGTGCAAATATTTTTTTTTTTTTTTTTTTTTTTTTTTTTTTTGAGACGGAGTTTCGTTCTTGTTACCCAGGCTGGAGTGCAATGACGTGATCTCGGCTCACCGCAACCTCCGCCTCCTGGGTTCAGGCAATTCTCCTGCCTCAGCCTCCTGAGTAGCTGGGACTACAGGCACACGCCACCATGCCCAGCTAATTTTTTGTATTTTTTAGTAGAGACAGGGTTTCACCATGTTGACCAGGATGGTCTCGATCTCTTGACCTCGTGATCCACCCGCCTCGGCCTCCCAAAGTGCTGAGATTACAGGCATGAGCCACTGCGCCCGGCCTATTGTGCAAATATTAATAGAAATCTTCTGAGGTTCAAATTTAGTGTTGATATCAAGGTATAAAGTGTTAGACTTAAAAATGTGAGAGTGAAATCTATAGAATTAAAATATACAGTTTTTTACCTGAGTTTCCCTTATATTTGTCAATTAGTGTAGTCTAGAGCTAATTGGCCTACCTCCTTTATTTGAGCTATATCCTTTGAAAAGAATGGCACAATCAGTTTTATCTGTTTCATGGTTTGATTAGCTAACTGGAATTTTCAGCACTTCAATTCATTATACATTTATTTTAAGCATGCATTTTATGCCCGGGTTTTTTTTAGGCACTAGGGATATTGACATGAATAAGTTTTGATCCCAGTCTTTCAGAATCAATAAAATATTAAACAGAGAAGCTATTCTTGAAGAGCAACATCTATAAATACACATATTCTACAAGTTTTAACAAACTATTGAAATAAATGTCACCTTTATGATGGGTATACTTACACTCTACTTATAATTCTATACTTATTAAGCTATTCTTACAATTTAACTATACTTATAATTTATCCTAGCATAACTAGAAAGTTAAACTAATTTGAGATTTGGCAGATTATTTTGTGATAAAAATTATTTTACTTCAGCATATTTTTGATTCTGTTTTCTTCAGTTTTCATCTTTCTGTTTAATATTAGAAACAAACTTTAAAGTGTAGATTTGAACCCTTTTAGAAATAACTGCTCTACCTTTCGTTTTAGTGAATGTTGTCATCATACACTGAGTAATTGGCCTTGCGAGCTAATAGATGCTAATTTAATAAGAACAAATTCCTTGGGATTTAGTAGTGGCCACAAATATGTTTTCTTTACATTTCATGCTTTTAATTTTCTAAATGGTACTTGTTTGTAATATGTTGAAAGAGTGGCTTAAAATAATTGACCTCTAGAATTTTGCCTGACGAAACTGATACATGTATTTTTTTTTTTTTTTTTTTTTTTTTTTTTTTTTTTTTACTTTTAGGGAATTAAGCTCTTTAGAAGGCTTCATTTCTTTGGGGATTTCTTCTTTTCTTCAATACTATGTAAAGAAATCTTGGAGAAGATTTCTTAGAAATTTTCATGACATAATTAATCAACAGTAACCTGTATTAGCGGCGTGATGGAACAGGGATTGGTTCTCTCTGTTTTCCTGGCACCATTTAGGATCCATGCTGAGCTGGAGAGTCTTAGAAATTTTACAAGGAAAAGTGATTGAGAAGAATACTTCCCTTCCAGGGATTTAATTCATCTGTTCCTCCAAAGGCCTCACTTTTTTGGAGATCTTATAGATCAAAAACGTGTATTAAGTTATGAAGGCCCTAAGTCATACAGTTGAGTTAGCAAAAGGAATGAATTCCTTCAGGGGATTATCATTCTTCTCTCCTAGAAAAATTTGCCCCCTTTTTGTATCTATTTGCTATCATTTGTATGCATTAAGATTTCAGCAAGCACCTCAAAGTTGAATTCATTAACATGTCAAACTATTTGCTTACTAATACTTTTAATTTGAAGTGATATGATATTTCTGATGAGTTATCTAATTAATTTTCATTTTAATATAGGCTCTGAACCAAGTTGTCCTGTGGGACAAGATTGTTTTGAGAGGTGATAATCCGAAGCTGCTGCTGAAAGATATGAAAACAAAATATTTTTTCTTTGACGATGGAAATGGTCTCAAGTGAGCAATTCTTGGTCTTTTTTCTCTCTCTTTTTTTTTTTTTTTTACATTTAATAAGAGGTGAAAAGGAGAGAAAGATGTATTTTTATTTTAAAGAAAAATACTTGAGAGTAAAAGGAAAAAAATTGGGAGAAAAGTATTTATGCATATCTAAATTGGAAGATTGGGTGGAAATGCAAAGTGGGATCTGAGATAAGTAAGCAACACTCTTGCAGTGTGTGAAATGTCATAGTCTAACTATTAAAGCTTCTATCCTAAGTGTGTACAAGGACTATGGGATTATTCAGATGTGGTAGGGCTGTGGTTGTCAAATTGAAGGGCTCCTTTCTGAGAGTGAGCCAGGAAACCTCGGAAGCAGCATGTTGGATCTAGGAGTTGATACCAGTTAACAGAACTAGTGTTGGTTCTCCGAACGTGACTTCTCTAAAGCTCAATTTAGAGTGATTGATCTCTCAGATTATTTTTACCTCTTAGACTCTATTGGTAAACATTGGAAATAACTTTAGAAGAAAGCTGTTTTGACCAAGCCAAACCTCTGCATTTGCATTGAAAATTTCAGAACATGAGAGTTGTAATTTGTTAAGGTTTGTCCGTCTAGATAATAACAGAAATTCCTAGCTCGTCTCTTTTTACATTTACTGTTTTAATCATATAAGCTTTTTGGTTGATAGTTCTATTAACTGCAGCTGTGAGTTTAGACGGGTAATCATGGGATATCAGTAAATGTAATACCGTGTCTTCTAGCATTGTCCTTGGATTTTAGGCGATATGAGAAAATAGTTCTTACAGATTAGCATATTAGGATTTCTATAGGAATATATGGTTATAAATAAAAGTATTTGACATCTCAGTGTTTGACTTAAAATTTTTTTTGGAACTACTAGAATTTCTGATGACTTGTGTTTATTATGTCTTTTTGTAGGGGAAACAGGAATGTCACTTTGACCCTGTCTTGGAATGTTGTACCAAATGCTGGAATTCTACCTCTTGTGACAGGATCAGGACACGTATCTGTCCCATTTCCAGATACATATGAAATAACGAAGAGTTATTAAATTATTCTGAATTTGAAACAACATATTTTTATACTCAATGAATTGTATCTCATTTATCTCTTCCCTTGCATCTTCATTTGTTGTTACTTTTTTTGTTGTTGTTGTTTTGTTTTTTTTCGGTATAAGACCTAACATCAAAAGGCCTGTTTGAAGGGAAAGGTTAATGGGCTACTTAATTTTACAAACAAAACAGAAACCAAGCCTGTCACAGTGAAGTATTATCTTACAAGAATAAGAACTACATAAAAAGGATTGTAAAAAATACATATTTGAAGTATTCCCTGTATTTCTGTTACTCTTTATGGAATACAAAGTGAGCATGAAGGGCAGTTAAAACTTTCAGGTGCCTGTAGAGTCATAATAACTCTGTATTTTATGCCTTGCATTCACGCAAGTTCACATTGGATGTGATTTAAAAGTAGATATCCTCTTTTATCTTTTTAAGGGTATGTTTGAATACTGGAAAATTAATATGGTTATTTGTTAGAAGTCTGATTTATAAAAAAGCCAAAAGTAATGGAATTTTATTCCGTTTGTCTTAGGCAGGCCCATAATATTTGTTTTTCTTACGTGTGACTAGCAATTTTCTCCACTTAAAGACTAAATACCTCTTTATATGCTGTAAATCATTCTAATTCATTTAAAAATCTTTTAGGTCAACCAAATGTGTGTCTTCAGTGCTTTCTCTAAAAATATTCCTTTATAGCTTTGTACATTTTTTAAGCATTGCCATTGAAAGTTGAAAATGTTTGCATGGTTTATCCTCTGAGTTACGTTTCTTCTAGTGAGCATGCCTACTGCCACTAAGTGGATTATTTACGACTTTTTGTAGGTCCATATTTTAATTATTGGGATAATAATTGTGGTATGCTTTCCATTTACAAACCACTCATATACTTTAGTGTATGTCATCCTTAATAATCTAACAAGGTAAGTAGTATAAGTGTTAGCTCTTTGCAGATGAAGAAACTGAAACCCAGAAGTTTATTGAATTGTCACATGGTGAGCAAGGAGTGGAGTTAAAACTTGAACTCAGATCTTCTAATTCTCTGAGCTCATCCTTTCTTTTATACCTCAGATTGCAGACTAATCAAATATCACTTATAACCTTCTGATATTTTTTGTGACCCTGGAAACCTTATCACTCCTATAAAAGGTTTCTCGTTTTATATGGAAATGACTAATTTTCAGGCTGCCAGCTTATATCGAGGTAATATTTTATTCTCTGTATAAATTCATTTCACTTATTTAAAAGCATAAGGATATCTACATATATGTAAAAATAATCAATACATAATACGTAATACATGATTGAATACGTGATCATACTTAACATGATTTTTTTTTCTGCTGTGGAGAAATAAACATCCTCAAATTAGCAACTGCAAATCAGTTACCCTTAGAAAAGCAAGACCAAACACTGTAGCACTGTTAGCAGTAACCAAAAAGGGCTAATATTTTCTAAGAATAGTTTAATAACATTTGTTATATTTACCTTATGTGAAATACATCACTAATTACATTAATTTTAGCATCTATTGTATGGAGTTGTATAGTTCATGTAAAAGCATGTGGGTATGGGTTTTTCAAACCAGCACAAAGGTCAAAGGTGTCATGAATGCTAAATTGTGCTTGGCTCCCAGCTTTTTCATTAAACTTTCCTGGGTCTTGGTTTCTTTATCTGTAAAATGATAGAGTTGGACTAGTTAACTTCAATGGTGGTCCTTTTACACTATACAAGGCTATAAAATTTGTCTGTTCAGCAAAGAGATTGAACAGAAAAGCATGTTAGTAATGTGAAGACAGGAAAATGACTGAAAGACTAACACGTAACTCATATTGATCTACTTTACTTCTGTTAGATTTTACACTCAGCAAATTTAACCTCATTTACTTTGTACAAAAACTAGACGTGGAAACTTAAAATGTGCAGGTGTCAAAGCTTAAAAATAGGGTGTGTCTTCTTTAAAGAAGGTATGCGCTATAAGCCTGCATTCTTAACCAGACCTGGTACCAGTTTAACAGTTCATTATACTTCTGTGATGAGTGGATCTGTTAGTCTGGTAGAGATTAATGTTGAAATTTACTTATTTACTTGAATTAACAGTTTTTTGACAAGCCCACTTTTTTTTTTTTTTTTTTTTTTTTTTTTTTTTTTTTTTTTTTTTTTTTTTTTTTTTTTTTTTTTTTTTTTTTTTTGGGAGTTTGGTGAGGAAGACAAGTAAAAATGTCCACTAGCACAATGTGGATAAAGTCTTTTGTTTGCTTGACTAAGGGAAACTACTCAGAACAAGAATGTTTCAACATGGGAATAAGGACCCTCAGTCTCAGGAACTCATTTTTGGGTGCAGTTTCTACATTTAAAAAATTGACTTGTGTTCAGTTTGATAACCATTTCATTTGCTTTAGTCTCAGTGTTTTAAAGAAATCTCATAACGTTCTACAAAGACACAAAGCTTCAGGTTTATACAAAACTAAGTATGATTAGAAATATATGAGCCCAGAAATGATTCTGAGAAAAGAGAATAAGACACTTATTTAAAAGTAATTATGTTTAGAAATGAATTAATGTAAAAATGTGCTCACATATCTCTTTCTCTAACAGTTTAACCTGGACAACCATCTGTATCAGTGTTTTTTAACCCCCTAATTGATTATATTTAGCTTCTTTATTCTGAAAGGAAAATAACAAAATATTTCAGAATCCTAAGTGTGTAATAGGAAAGTGGGTTATTTTGAATTTCCTTTCCTGGAATTATTTTACAGTTCTTTGGTGGGTCTGGTAAGCCAATTAATAGCTGGGCTTTAAGATGATCATCTCTAATAGCTAATGGCTGGGCTTTATCTCTATGATGATCATCTTAAAGCCCAGCTATTGATAATGAACATTTTTCACTATTTTTTTCTCTCTGAAGCTTAGAGATCTAAAGCTTTGGATTTTTTGGGTATATGTCAATGGGGATATTATTTTATAATACTTTGTGTTGACATGAAGTGGGTTCATGGGGGAAAAAAACCATAAGCTGTGAACATGGGTAGTAAACAAACATAATCATTTCAAAGCTTTCCTTGCTTTTAGCAGAGAGAAGCCTGTATACCTTACATGTGACTGCCAGTAGTTTAAAGAGATCCGTTTCAAAAAGTTGTTGCATGTTTTTGATGCAATCTGGGAAATTGTTTACTTCACAATATAGTCATAAAAAATTCATGAAAATACTGAATATGTGTTTGACGATTTTTCTTTTTCTTTTTTTTTTTTTTTTTT